ACTTGATGAATAGAGAAATATTTATAAGTTGCCATTGATTGAGTAGGTTTCCGAAATATATTAGTAATAAAGTAAAATATTTAGCATTTTCATACTCATTATAAAGCATGTTACAGGATTTCATTGACGTAGCACTCCGAATTAATATAAGTCACATCTTAATTTGCGATCGTACTGATTTACACGTATGCATTTGAACAAATGAAATAAATATAAATCAACAAATAAATGATTCTTTTGTAAAACAAATCAAATTACAAATGAAAAACACAAAACGGGAAGGGATATTCAATACGGACCGCAAAAAAACCAAAATAATATACAAAATAGGAAGAGAGAAAAATCAAAGAAAACTGAGAATTGTTTTAAGTTTTGGATATTTGAATGTTTTTGACTCGAGCATCACTGAAGGGACATACATTGTCGAAATGTGCATTTAGTACCTTCAATGTTATTTGATAAAGGCCGTTTGGTGGTTGAAACTGCAATAATCATTAACCGATAATTACAGATATTGTCAGACAAGGAAGATATGTTTAATAGTACAATGCATTTAAATTTCATCAACAGATGTTAACAAAACAAGCACAGCGTGTAATAGTAAAAATGTATGTGTAATTTGATACACTTGTTGACGAAAACGGTCAATTGATATAAATAAAATACCGATAGTTAAAAATAAAACATAACAGGATTGTGAAAGTTCAATTCTGAACGCAAAAATATCAAAACAAAATGCAAAATAGGAAAAAAAGAAAGAAAAAAAAACAACAGAAAGAAATTATAACAACAAAAAACAGAAAATAGAGAATCGATTTTACTCCCAGCGTAAACGGCCAAAAACGTTTATGCCTCGAATCTTCCAATATTCACTTATTCATACATAAATATAATTCCGATCTAATTCATATCTTTATTTTATGCAATATATAATTGTATAAAAATACAGTGAAACCTGTTTTTAGAGACCACTTAAGGGAGAACAAAAAAGTGGTCTCTTATGACAGGTTGTCTTTTAATACAGGTTCAAACTATATGAAATGTACTACAGAGGGATCTAAAATTTATGGTCTTATAATGTAACAGTAAAAGTGTATATGTAATTTGATGCACTTATTGACGAAAACGGTCAATTGATGTAAATAAAATACTCCGATAGTTAGTGATAAATTATGGTAAAGAACCGAGAATAGAGAATAATTGGCAACATCAAATACAGATTAGAGAAAAATGACAAACTAAATTAAGAGAAGGTAAAGAAGGGGAAACGTGCTTAAAAAAAGAGAACACATAATCAAGGGACCCCATCCAGACCCTCACGAACGAATTAAAGGGAAAACTTTAAAAGTCTATTCTAAACTAAAAATTCTACCGAGAAAAGAATATACATTTGACCAACATATTCCGGGGTTGGAAAAGGGGCATGACATATGCGGCAGGTTTAAATCTTTAAAAAAAAAACCATTAGGACGCATAAAACGTGTTGACGGCTATCACCAAGCGAAGCAGGCTTCCATTGAAAACTCGTTCAACTAGATATCAATAATCATATCATAAAAAATGCATTAGTTTTGGATTGAAGATTTTCTTTTAAGATTCGAAGCTACTTTTTGAACATATGATATTTAAGTATAAGTATTACATGAAAGGGGAAAACACAGAAAGTACACAATGGCTATTTGCAAAATATTTGTTTTATAATATACTGTTAAAATCGAATATGTAGTACGATGTTTATGTTACATGCATATTCTACTTGAATGATTTTTATCTTTGATACGATCCCTATATTTCTCCTATAAACAGTAGGTGTCAATAGTCGGTGTCGAGAGTTGTTGAAAAGGTCTAAAGTACATTGTGTTAAAAATTCATCTACAGATGTGTACACAACAAGTGGGAAGTTTTTGTATTATGTTAACAGCATGAAATAGTAAAAATATATGTGTCCGATAGATATATAAAATCTATGATTTATTTGATAGAGAAATACGCAATGAAATTATATTTGGAAATAAAAAAACATTAAAGATAATAGATAAAGCAGTAACGATGCTAACTTCAATCAAAATCAGTATAATTTATAATCGCGAACTAATTGACGGAAAGAAAATATTTCGACAGTTAGAAATAAAACATAACTGAATAGCCGAAATATTAATACTTAAATAGGCAATACCAAGAAGTTTGCTAGATATCCTTTAAACAAAAGACTCTAGTTTTCAGATCTTAACAATGAAAACTTCTATTGGTATTTTATAAAAAAAAAATTAAAATAACATGAAACATTGGAGCAACGACATGCCAGAGAATAGTAGACAATCAACCATTACAAATGAGACAATTCTGAAACTTTATTTACGTACATAAGCAAACGCTGTGTCGAAGACTCACTGGTGGCCTAGGGCTGTTTTCTGCTCTTTGGTCGGGTTGTTGTCTCTTTGACACATTCCCCATTTCCATCTCAATTTTATCAAAAACTGTAAGTCGAAATTATTAAGCTATATATAACCGAACAAAGAAAATCTTTTTTAATGAAATATATCAAAAGAGTGTGCTTTATGTAAACGCACAGATAACTATCAACAAGTTTTCTACGATTGTGAATTTGTAAAATACTTCAGGAATAAAATTGCATAGACAATGAGGTGAAATACCACCAAATCATAGTACGTCACATCCGGTTGCATACGAAAAAGGGTCGAAAAAATAATTCCCTTGAATTTGACAGTTGTAAGAAATTAATCCTACATTTCATTACAGTAAAACATTACTGGGTCATCAACATATATCTTGGGTGTTTCAAAGCACCATTATTTTTTCATTTGGTGTTTCTATAGAATATTTTTGGAAATTTGAGGTTACATGGTTACCAAAGTTTGTACACAGATAAAAAAGAGATGAAAATTTGATTGGTTAACTTCCAGTGAAAGGTATTTTCTTATATGCAATGAAATGTAATGTGAAATTTTGTCTATAGTACCGGATAAAACTTAACACATGCCAAGTATTTCTTCCTTTGAAACAAAGATAAATTCTGCACAATTTTTTGAAAAGTGCAAATTTTACAAAGACTATTAGGGGAAAATCAATGGTGGTATTACACCTTGAAAATCATAAATTTTTGTTATAAAATACTACGAAAAGACATAGTCTTTAGAAATAAATAAAGGGAACAGTAGTAAACTGCTGTTCAATAGTCATAAATCGATTAAGCGAAAATAAATCCGGGTCACAAACCAAAAACGAGTGAAACACATCAACAAGGTAAATACGTGAATACCAATTTACTGTGTAGTTCATTTTTGGTAATATTCTTTTGATGTGGCTAGGTACTTATGCATCATTCCAATCTGTTATTGTCATGGGGTCATTTTTTTGTGATCTTGTCTTTCATTTTTGATAATGTGCTTTGTCTATATGCAATTTTGTTTTTCTTTGTTGACATATTTGTTTGTTTTATAATGATCAAGATTATAATATCCAAAGTATGCCTCTTTGTTTAATTCACACATTGTTTTCAATATGATTGAATTGTTTGCGACTGGCATACAAGTGGGAGGTTTAACTAGCAACAAAACTAGGTCTAATTCACCATTTCCTACATAGGAAAATGCCTGTACCAAGTCAGGAATATGACAGTTGTTTTCTATTCGTTTAATATGTTTGATTTTAATTTTGCCATTTGATAATTTTCCTGAGAGTTCGGTATTTTTTTTCATTTTACCTTTAAGATGATTTGCATTCATATATGTATGTAATAAAGGATTTAACTAACTATCAAGTATATAGTAAGTTTTATCTTTAGGATATTCTATTCCTCAAACTATCAATATAACAAGGTACATTGACCGTGAAAGCTGTTGGAAGTGAACTGGTAAGTGAACTGCCTTAAGGTTAAATAAATTACCTATTATTGTAAAAAAGCAATCATGGATTCAATCAAATAATCAAACAAGAAGGAGTAGCAAAGCGTTTATGATTAAAATTCGTAAATTTTATTTTAATATATAAATCAGGAAATAGTCTCTGATGGGATCACATGGACTCAAAACGGATCGAGACCAGATGCGTCAACAGAGTAATTGTCAGCCATTGCGCATGCATGGATCGTCATACAAATCCATATGTTATTAAAGTTCATCGTCGACCACTATCTGTTCACTGATATTAAACACACCTATCATAATTATGTCCTCACTCGTTAATGACGTATAGACCAATCAAAAACCCAAGGCAACATCAGTTATGGTCCATTGGCCACATGGTAATGACACTACTCATTCAGATTATAAAACTGTATTTGTCGTCATTTCACTCATTCTCGTCATAAACCTCTCAGGTAAATAACATGGGGAAAACTGCTCTGTTCGTGATGAGTGTGGCTTTCATTGTAACTAAAGGTGAGTGATTATTTCCAATGACTTTTTATAATGATACATGAATCTTTCAAATATAAGACAATGTACAGAGGTTGTGAGTTAATTGGACATCACATATAAATACAGCTACGACGGTCAGTTTCTGTAATGTGTGTCATGGCTTTTAAATTAAACCATAGAATACAATACATATCTGGTTTTTAATGTTTCACATATGTACAACGTGTATTTCATTTTTTATAAATTTGCACGACACATGTCTTTTTTTTTAACAATTAGAGTTGTTTTCCCGTTGAAGTGTATGGATCAAATCTACAAACTGTGATTGATTTTAAGAATTAAAACAAAAGGTGCATTAGAAGCAGATTATAAACAAAAAATTTAATTATATTGTAACAATGCGGAAGGAAAGCTTTGCATTGTCTTTTGGCTAATCAAACAAAGATTTATTAAGCAAGATTATGATGTTTTACTTATTTAAGATATTTTAGGAAGTTTTAAAGTTTTATATCAATAACGATTGCAAATGACCATGAAGGATCGAATAAAAGTATAAACGTTTATACATTTTGCTATTGTTCATCTGAACACTGATTTGTTTCAAATTACAGGTGAGGCAAACTATAATGCATGTACCGATGTTTATAGTGGATATTGTTCAGACTCTAAAATATGCAACTCGTTAGGAGGGCAAGTGGAGACACTGTCAGTAAGATGTCAATGTGGTAAAGCATGTTGCAAATGTACTGGTAAGTAACTAATTTCAAAAACCATCATCGTAGGATTTCATACCGACCTACATAAAATATTGATTAGGCTTATGTGAATGTCCTGAATATATATAAGAGAATATAGACTGTAAAAATACACAAAATATCACAGTATGCAATGTTATATTATTATAAGAAAAGTGTTTTTTTTCTAAAAAATATTCGGATTCCCAAATTGATAAAAAAAAATATTCTGTTCAAGCAGAGGACAAAAAAAATATTCTGAATCCAGATTTCAAATATATTTGTTCTGACTCATACAAAAAAAACATAGCTCCCCCTGAAGTTAAATGGTTGCTCCCTTATTAACCACAAAGCATTTCATTCCCAGACACATGTCCTGTTGGTTCTACATGTATGAGTGAAGGTGAAACCTGTGATGGAGTGAAAGATACAAACGGTTGTTGTGGCAACAGGTTTTGTTGTACTCCTACTGCAACAACGACACCAGAGACAACTACACCATGTAAGTAATTATATTATCACAGATTCTTAAAAAATGTTTGGAGGGACATACATTATTAACAACAATTGATTGAAAAACAATCATACATAATCAAATAAAAAATATTAATAATCGATCAAAAACCTGGACGCAAAGTATTTGATTATCCGAAAAACTGTAAACAAATTTAACAGCATTACAACATGCACAACGAAAATCTTTAAAAAATATATCATGGCTAAATGAATATGAATTTCCACAGATAAAAAGGTTTTGAATGAATCACAATTCTACTTTTGTTCTATAAGTGCCAATTATTCAAGGGATATTCATTCGTAGAATGGCAATATTAATTACTAATTAAAGGATGAAACGCATGATAGCTGCTACCCTCAAATCAGAAGACTAAAAATAATATGACTTATCCTTTTTTATTTGGGGAAACGGGAGAACGTTTTGAAAAAATTTGAAAATAAAAAGTCATATATTTGTTCACCCAAAACAAAATTAAAAAAATCAAAATACATGAAATGGAAATCAAAACTCTTTTCTGATCAAAATTCGCAGATTTTATAATAGATAAACAAATAAACAGTGAAACAGTATTAAAGATAAGTTGTTATGAAAATGCAATAATTATTGATTAAAATATTTTGATAATATGAACTGTAAACACATTTCATTATGTTACAGGTGGTGTAACCAATTGTCCAGGTGAATGTTGTCCGGTCAGTTGTCAGCAAGGTAATGAACAGGAAGAATATTGCTGTGAACAAGCTGGATTTGTATGCTGGTTAGTTTAAGTTAACAAACCAAATGATATGATTTTCGTGCACAGATGACCTGCGACTAGTTTCACTAAAATATCTTACAAAAATATTGACTCTTAAGAGAAAAAATCTGGCAGCGACTCTTTTCACCAAAAAATCTTCCAATTAAAATTGATCGTTAGTTATACTGAATTTCAAATGTGTTTAATTTACGAATATTTTTACTCGAATTTCAAAGCTTTATTTATAAAGAGCCAAAATTTACATGATTTTCATGACAAATCTTAAGTAAATTAAACGGTCGTAACTTTACGGGTACCATCGGCCTGTGTTAAGAAAAGATTTTACTCTTGAGTTTTTTTAAAGAATTATAAGTATCACATAGATCTACCTTTATAGAAACCAAATAGCTGGCCAGGATTGATCCTACTTAATTTCGTAAAGCTATTCTCAGAGAACGCGTTGTTTTGCGATAAATCTGACAATCTGATTAATTAAATATAAATTATGCAATATCTGACAGTTACATAATGATAGCATATCTTCTATTTTCAGCACAGAGTGGTATGTTATATAATATATGGAGTCTTTTGAAGTTCAGAGATGGTTGTATCATTACATACATATACATTATGATACTTATTACCAAAACAATTTATCAAACGATCGGTGCTATCGATGTTTTACCATCTGTTAGTTGCTATAGAATTTAAGATTGTATGTTCTCCGTTTCGAAATCCTAATTGGTAATCCTCTGCAAAACGTAATAAATAAGACCAAACTGAGATTTAGAAAAATATGCGCAGCGCTAAAAGTTATCAATATTAGTAAACCACTTTCGAAGAAACTGATCTTGAATACAGATTTAAAAGTTAAATAATCAATGTTTTGGTTTTAAAAACAATATAAACTAATCCTGACTTGACAAATATAGATTTCACAAATGACACTCATTTAAATTCATAAATAGCCTCACTATGAAATCTGAAAAAGAGTTTTTACTTAGAACTACTTAGTGCATTATCAATATTCAACTAATATTAAGCTTACAAAAATACCTGATTTTCTGTTTTAATTTTAACATGAATACTTATACTTTACATTTTGCCATTTCCTATTCATGGAAACATGTATATAACCATTAAGGTTATAACAAAATGTTGACTGCTGTGTCCCACTTTTTGATATGTTTACCTAATATTCCAGTTTTATCTGGTCAAACATTGCTATCAATATTATGGAATTTCATGCAAATGCCATACAAATGAGAGGTTTAGCAAGCAAAAAAAAAAGGTTTACTTCACCATTTTCACCATACGGAAATTACTGTACTAAGTCAGGAATATGACAGTTGTTTTCCATTCGTTTAATGTGTATAAGCTATTGATTTTAGCATTTGTTAAGGGACTTTCCGTTTAGAATTTTCCTTTCAGTTCGGTATTTTTTATTATTTTACTTGTTTCATATACTTTTGGTCCTTTTTGGTTTTCTCAGCTCTTCAAGGTTAAGAAAAAAATGGATTATCAAATATTGAACTCGTCGAAATTAGCATCTTGTAAATTAAAATGTGTACCGTTAATGTCATTATAAATTTTAACAAAATAATGTTTATCATTTCAGTAGGGGCTCTGAAACATAGAACTGAATCTTGAAGCCGACAGTTTGTGAAATATCTACAGTCTGTTTTAATAAAATAATTAAAATTGTATGTTATTCATGTTATTGATTATAGAGACTATGACACATGTTTCCTGGATAACTTTTGACACCACAAACGTTATGAAACCACATGGATAATTTACACCCAAAACGCACAAATACAAAACGGTTAATCTCGTAATTGTCGAGGGATTAATGAAATTTACCTGTGAATAAACTAATCATAGATACCAGGATTGAAATTTTGTATTTGGGCCAGATGCTCGTCTCGTCTACAAAAGACTCATCAGTGACGCTCGAATCAAAAAAAGTTAAAAAGGCCAAATAAAATACGAAGTTAATGAGCATTGAGGACCAAAAATTCCTAAAAGTTTTGCCAAAAACAGCTAAGGTAATCTATTCCTGAGGTAGAAAAGCCTTAGTAGATAATATATGTAGATGGTACTCTACATTGGGTTCTGAAAAACTCCTTCATAAAAATCCTGGATCCGCATCTGTTTAGGATTCATTTTTAAAAAGAACTACACTTTGTATAAGCATATTCAAAATTTACAAATTAAATGCATAGATATCTTTTATAAGTGTATGGCTGGTTGCGCCCCATCCGGTTCTTGTAAGTTATTCCATACAATTTAGTATGTTGGATTTAATATACAGGATCCTAGTTCTTTAGACAAGTATCCTCTGACCTTGACCTCATTTCATGTGTCAGTGATCTTGTGGACTCTTATTTTTTTATTCCCCTTGGGTATCTAAACTATATGTTATAAAAATAAATAGCACAATACAACACCTGCATTTCTCAACAGGATGAGATCCAGCTAGAACATGTAAAGAAAGCACAAATTTTAGAAGGCAGGGGCAAAATGTGTTAATAATAAACTCATTATAGATACCAGGATTAAATTATGTACGCCAGAGGCGTTTAGTCTATTAAAAACTCACCGGTGACGCTCGAATCAAAGTAAAAAAATACAAAATTAAAGGACCTTTGTGAGCACGCTCACATACCCTACGCCCCCACATTGTCACTGGACAAACAAAATCTCACCAGGTTCCTAAGTTCAAAGACTCATAACTCTACAAAAGTCAACTGATAAATTTTTCTTGTGGATACGCACATTTACATATTATGTCCTCATTAATTACAAAGTTTCATGAAATTCTGCTGTGTGGTTTCAGAGGAGTTGCGTTACAAACTGTTGCAGTAGTATATTGAGGCCAATAAGTTCAAAGAGGCATAACTCATAGAAAAAAAATTGAATCATAATTTCCTGTCGATATGCACATCTACATAGCATGTCCTTATATCTGCAAAGTTTCATGAAATTATGTTGTGTGGTTTCAGAGGAGTTGCGATGACAAACTGTTGCAGTAGTATATTGAGGCCAATAAGTTCAAAGAGGCATAACTCCTAGAAAAAAAATTGAATCATAATTTCCTGTCGATATGCCCATCTACATAATATGTCCTTATTATCTACAAAGTTTCATGAAATACTGTTGTGCGGTTTCAGAGGAGTTGCGATGACAAGAACAGGACAGACAGACGGACGGGTCGAAAACATTATACCCTCCGCAACTTCGTTGCGTGGGGTGTAATAAGCGACATGTCTGTATTATATCAAAATTTTAAATTATATAACAAATATATGGCTATGGTTAAATTTAACGAAACTGTTAAAGGTCTTTCTTCAACACTTTGTTCCTTAATTGACATACACATTATAATTAAAACCATGTGTTATTTTCTAAACAACAAAAATAAGAGATTAATGTACACTATCATACTATTCGACAGTAAAAAATAAGAAATAAACAAAAAAAAATGGCACAAAAAAAATAAATAAAGCGTTTCGTTTTCATACTTTCCAACATTTCAGCAGCACCTGCATAAGGAGTAAATGTCTCACAGTTGATACGATATTCCAGGGCTTGTGTTTCCTATCATGATTTCATTGATATAGGGTTGCTGCTTACAATGAAGCTATTAAAATCTTAGAGTACCAAAGTTGAAACCATCCATTCGAAAATTCTACGGACGCCACCACGAGTTAGTTGACTGTTATTGAAAATCTGTTTCACAGATGACGTCGGATATGTTTCATTCGTAACCACCACCCGGTCTTTTTTCTCCAAATAAAACCTACCACATTATAACTATCACCATGTTTGATCTTACATGAACACAAAGACGGGTGTCACACGTGGAGCAGGATATGCATTCCCTTCCGGAGCACCTGTGTTAACCTCCGGTTGTTGATGGTGTTTGTGTGGCTCAGTCTTAAGTTTTCTACGTTATGTTTTAAACACTGTTGTATGTCTGTTTTGTGTTTTTCGTTCGTGCCTTGGCGTTGTCAGTTTATTTTTAAGTTATGAGTTTAAATGTCCCGTTGGTGTCTTTCGCCTCTCTTTTTCAAGGCTAATAAATAAAACTTTCTATGGAGTGTATAGATATATAACTACCAGCTTATACAGAGTTTAACGTCGTATCCAATGCGAAAATTGTAATAGTCAACTTTGGGAGTCTTCTACGACATTAGAAACTACAACACTGTATAGCAGCCGAGTAGATGCCTCGAAAAGAATAGACTTAACGCTTACAACTGCAATACCTTAATATTAACTCCGATTAGCCTACCAGTTTGGCCATCATTAGTTCAGTGCTTCTTTGGTGTCTATTGTTGACATATTGATACACATTCGTGTTGAGAAGTTAGTAACCAGTTGATGTGAGTTCTCTGCATTTTTTTGTCACGTTTTGCTTTTTTTAACCGATGGTTTGATATTGCCACTCCTAGAAGAGACGTTTTTGCAGTTTAATTCAAAACCATGACCACACAAAGATCATTTGAACTAATCTAAATTAGAACAATATCTATTTATTGACACAAGTCTTTAGTGTTGAACAATGACCACGGTCATCTGCAATTAAACATAAAACAGTGAAAACATTAATAACCACAATTGAGTCCATAGTTATTAGTCATAAACGTTCATGACTCTGTGAATCACAGTATCTTATACAAAATAGTAAAATTTCTCATCGAAACCAATGCTTTGCAATATATATCTAATGCAGGCCACGTCCACTTGTATTTGTAGTATTTGTATTTTTATCCATCTGATGAGTTTAGCCTCTTACAACTGATTTTTATGGTTCGTTTTTATGTTGTACTGTTACACCACTGTCCCAGGTTGGGGGGAGGGTTGGGATCCCGGTAACATGTTTAACCCAGCCACATTCTGTATGTGTGTGCCTGTCTAAAGTCAGGAGCCTGTAATTCAGTGGTTGTCGTTTGTTTATGTGTTACATATTTGTTTTTCGTTCATTTTTTGTACATAAATTAGGCCGTTAGCTTTCT